CGGCCGTCGAGGAGTCCCACAGACCGTCCATTGCGACAACGTGACGAACTTCGTAGGAGCAAGTCGCCAGTTCCTGCAGTTGCGACCTCGAATCGAGGAAGAGGCGGACGCAATTCGCGAATTTGCATCAACAAGCGGATCCGAATTTGCGATCATAAAGCCAAGAGCTCCGCACTTTGGGGGTCTGTGGGAGGCAGGTGTGAGTCTGCAAAGCACCTACTCCTACGGACGGTAGGCAGCCTGCTGCTAACGGCCGAGGAGCTGCAGACGACTCTTGTCGCAGTGGAAGCCGTCCTCAATTCTAGACCCCAGGAAGCAATCAGCGAGGACCCAAGCGATGGCGAGGCTCTAACGCCAGGCCACCTAATGGTGGGAGGCCCATTGAGGGCTCTGCCAGCAGAGGGGACCCCGGACCAGGGTCTCACCTGCTTGAATCGATGGCGAGCTGTCTCGTTGTTCAAGCAACAGTTTTGGCGGCGATGGTCAAAGGAGTATGTGCTCGGACTCCAAGTGCGGAGCAAGTGGCACCGTCGCCTGCCAAACGTCGTTGTTGAATTACATCAAAGCGATACGCACTAAAACGCTTAGCAGTCTTTTAAAGCCACCACAGTTCTCAATTTGTTTAATTATATAAAATAATATGATTTTTCAAATCCATTACATATTTTTCTCGGATATTGGCGATTTCCGGAGTTATTTCGAAAGTTAATTTTGTCTCCCTGTGTTCTGTTTTTGCGATGTTGCAAATCTCACATTCGTTTATTAGATTTTGAATTAAATTTTGATAATCTGGGAAATAGTGCGTTTCTTTGAACCAATTGATAGTTTTGTTCAATTTCTGAATGTAATAATTCTTTGTGTTTTTTTAATATTAGTTCCTTGAATTCTGCAAATGTTTGAGGATCTATTAATTTTTTACCAGTTTTCATTGCCTCTGTTAAATTATTTGGGCTTATTGTTTCTAAGTAGGCTTCTTGAAAAATTGGAAAATCTGTTTCATTGTGGAAGTATAGCACACTTTTTTTTGTGCTTAAATATTCTTTTATTAATTCTTTGGCATGTGCGTTAGTCATGTCTTTGTATGTATTGTCGATTATAATAAAAAAGGGTCTTTCTGTGATTTGTAAATGTTTACTGTTATCTTCCTGAGCACTAGATAGTTGTATAGTTGCTCTTGTGCTAATGGTATCTTCGCCTAAAAAGTTTTCGTTAAATTCGATTCTGGACAGAGCATCTGACACATAATTTTGTTTTCTTGGGACGTATTCAATTTGAACTCATTTAGCTTGATTTTCCATCGTTATAATTTCATGTTACATTCTTTCAGGTTATTTAACAAGACGAGTGGTCTGTGATCACTAAGGATTTGAAATTGTCGACTAAAAAGATATGAACTAAAGTATTTAGTGGCCCAATTGATTGCTATTAATTCTTTTTCAATCGTTGAATAATTTATCTCATGCTCGTTGAGAGTTCTGCTTGCATAGCATATAGGCTTATGCTCTTGCGAAAGGACGGC